ATCCGACCAAGCCAGCACCCTGGTCTCGGACTTCGAGCCTCCAGAACTTGAGAAAATGCATTTCTATTGTTTAAGTCACCTCATCTATGGCACCTTGTTATACGGCATCCTGAGTTAAGATACTTGCCTGTGCAGTAATGAGAGTATTCTTCCCTCTCTGCACTGACACTGTCTCTACCTGAGTTGACTCTTCATTACCATTCCCTTGGACTTCTGTAGGAGCCACCTAAATGGTTGATTCTTCTTTAATCTCTTCTCATCTCTGATCCAATCTACACAGTGTTGCCAGATTCGGTTACCTAATTATGCCATTCTTGAATTTAAAACCTAAAGTAGTTCACTTTAGCATACAAAATTAAATATATTTAATTATGTAGCCTCCTCAGCTTGTCATTCAAGGTTACTACCCTATACCGACCCAACCTAGCCTTTCACCCAGTTAGTGTTTTTCTTGTGTGTTATATTCCAGTCAGGTAGGATTGCAGGTGGTCTGTACAGACAGCCCTCGGGGTTAGTTTCTTTCATTACTTTGTTTCTGCTGGGTCCATTGTCTGAGTTGGTCTCCTCCCCATTCCATCTCCACTTATCAAAATCTTTTACCTCCTTCAAGGTCCAACTCAAACGCACATCCTCTGTGAATCCTTATCTATATAATAGGATTTCACGTGGGTTTTTTTTTTTTCCTTCTTTGATCTCCTGTAGCTCTTTGCTGGCATTTCTCTGTGACAGCACGCATATTCTGCTTTGTATCATAGTCTTTGTCTTTTGGCTTTTCACAACCACCCCCATCTTACCACATTCTAACTAAGCTCTTTGATGGCAAAGAACTTTGGAGCCCTGAAATATTAAACAAGGCTATCAAAAAAAAAAAAAAAAAAAGAAAACCCCAAAAACTGCTCTATATTTAAAAAAAATAAAGATTATAAACAATTAAAAAGCACTTCAGTTTTTTTTAATAGAATTGATTTTTAATTGGTCTTGCAACTACAATATTCCCTACATTTGTATCTGTAAATTGAAACTCCAACAGTAAATTCTATTCTCAAGCAGCAACAGTTTCTGTAAATTGAGATTCATGGGTAACTTTAAGAAGGGAAAAGCGCAGCAAGTGTGAAAGGTGTTTTTTCAATTGACAATGAGCCTTGATAATCTAATAGCTAAAATATGTCTGCTATTTTCAATTTTTATTTTACATGAGGTGGAAATAAGCCCACTTCAGCTTGATATAGAGTTTATAATTTGATCTCATCATCACAATATGACTTATAATACATAGGCATGAGATCATTTCTTACTGGAAAAGAGGGGGGAAAAAAGCTTTAGCAGTTAACCCTCAAGATTATTTTCTGACATTTCCCCTACCTTTTTGTTGTGGAGCAAGAAGATGGAGAAGTGATGCTTTTATATGCTGATAGTTAAGCTTCCTGGAAGCAGATGCTGAATCCTACTGAAAAGAATTTCATTTGAGTTATGCTTAGGGCATTGTTTAGCAGAATACTACACAAAGAGTCTTGACCTGTGTGTTTGAAATGGCAGATGTTCGCAGAGAAGATTGAGCCTTAGGGCAACATAAATCTTCACTATTCTGTGCCTATTTGCTCAATAACTGGGTTGAATAATAATAATTTAAAAAAAGGTCTAGAGAGTTATTTACAAAGCAGCTGCTCTTGCTGCAAATGGACATGTTCCCCTTAAGATAAGAAAAGCAAGCAAACAAACAAAAACCCTAAGAGCCCAAGCAAGCGTTAAAGGTCAAAAATGAGCACCTCTTCTTCCTCAGAATTTTGTTTCCATGAAATATTTTTGATGCGAGGCAGGTGAGACAAGGATAGGATTTTTTTTTCTTACTTCTGCCAAAAGGGGAATTTTCAGTGATTCCTTCAAATTTGGCAAAGCATCAGAAAAGCACAACACTAAGCACCTTCATTCATTTGACAGATATTTATATTCTTCTGTGTGCTCGACACCTTGCTAAGTCTACGGGTTCGACTACAAGGTTCACATAGCTAAGATAGCACTAATATTTTAAATAAAGTTTGAATTTGTCTCATGCTATATTGAAAAGAAAATAAACTAGAATTTTGGGGAGGCAGGCCTGGGGTGGGGGGGGGACAGTGGTGGCAGCAAGTCAGAATTCCTCCCCACGTATGGAACACAGAAAGCAGCCTAGTTCCTGTATCACAAAGCCTAACTTTTGAAAAGCTCCATAAGTATCATTTTGTTTTTACTATGGAAGCATGTATATATTTGAAAGTGCATGTAGAAAAGATAAAATCCAACCAATTTAAAAGAATATGAAAGGATATGAAAGGATATTGATCTCGTGTGTTAAAGGGGTCTTAGCAAGAAGTAGCTGTGGCCAAATGGTAAATTGTGGCTTAGAGCTGCACACAAACAAATGTGCAGGTTTGGGGAGTTTTTCCTTGGCTCCGGGCAGCTAGGGAGCCATATTCTCTTAGGGAATGGTGACTGGTAATCAACATGGTTAAAATGTACATGTACGCAGTTGCCCTCTACTTGTTCTTTGTCTTTCTTTTTTTTTTTTTTAAGATTTTATTTATTTATTTGAGAGAGAGAATGAGATAGAGAGAGAGAGCATGAGAGGGGGGAGGGTCAGAGAGAGAGGCAGACTCCCCGATGAGCAGGGAGCCCGACGTGGGACTCGATCCCGGGACTCCAGGATCATGACCTGAGCCGAAGGCAGTCGCTTAACCAACTGAGCCACCCAGGCGCCCTGTCTTTCATTTCTAGTGTGCTATTTTAGCGTCTTCTTGCACACACATAGGACACTCACACATGCAACACACATACATATATAGCACACCCGGCCACACATGGAGTCACTCAATGTGGTGAACCACTGTCGTTCACGCTCTGCTTGTATTTTTCTTCTTGTTTTAGGAAAATTTTTCTTCCTCTCCTTTCCCTCCTCTCTCCTTTACTAGTCTTTTTCCTTTGTTTAATCTCTCCTGCTTTCTTTTTTCTTTAAATTTGTGGAGCAAAAATGAAACAGAACGAAACAAGAAAAACTATGCGTAAGAGCGAGTGTCCCAAACTTTCTCAAGTTTATGGCATTCTGAGTATCCTAATAATTTTTTTCATGGTGTCCTGTCGGCCAAAAGATATACTTCACGGCTCCTTTTAATTAGTAAAATAAGTATGTATGTCCTAACAACTTAGTGGCCCTTTAAAAAAAAAATACATGAAAATTGAAAGAAAAATCTCTTTACTTCATACTTAGAAACCCAGTTACTTACTAATGGTATGTGTGTGTTTGCCTGCCGGGTACGTCCCAGTCCTCAAAGCTGGGAGTCAGATTGGATGTTGTCATCCTCATTTCTCACTCCACACTAGTTTTCATGCAGTATTTGCTTTTATATTACAAATATTATAAAAAATCCAACTTTGCAAAGTTACCCTATCATTGAAACGAATGTAGCATAATCTGATATTGAAACTGTGCATTACTTCAGGTGAGTAATTTGTGTTAAGCCTGATGGATGTTGCTGTGTTTTTTCAGGTACTGAAAATATTTTATCGTTCTGTGAATTTACAGTGGTGTCCATGGCACACAGTCTGGGAGCTGGTGGCTTTATAGAAAAAGAATAGTATTTGTATCAAAGTAAAATTAAGTCAGGTGCTTGAAGTGGAAGTACACATATTAAAATCATTAATCTCGCCCTGCATCGGGCTCCCCGCTCTGTGGGAAGCCTGCTTCTCCCTCTCCCACTCCCCCTGCTTGTGTTCCCTCTCTCGCTGTCTCTCTCTCTCTGTCAATTAAATAAATAAATAAAATCTTTAAATAAAATAAAATAAAATAAAATCATTAATCTCAAAAGTCCATCAAAATGTCCCCACATTCTTTTTTTTCATCTTGACAAATGTATCCACCTATCATTTCATTCTTGTATAATAAGGTTCACTCTTTTAAGCACCTACCCTTAAGATTAAAAAGCAGGAACTTCACTTCCAATCCAATTTTTGGATTTACTGGTTTACTAGTATTTCCTTTTTATTTTCTTTTAATAAAAACTCTATATATTTAAGGTGGGTAACATGATGCTCGGATATACAGAGTGAAATGATTACTATAGGCAAGCTAACATAACTCAGTGGAGTGTATGAGTATTATTTTAGACTATTCTTTTCATTAAATAATTACCATTTACAGTCAATTTAGCTTTTGGATTTAACTTAGGAGTCTAATAATGAACCATCTGTAACAATGTCATGTGGAACATATTCTAACTTCTAACCAGTTAACTCACAAACACACTTTTGGAAACTAACTTTTTTTAATTGGCGATTTAACCATAGACACTCCCTGCAGCAAGTCAAGAATTTTACTCTATGTCATTTTAGTTATTTTCTTTACTAACTGTCCAAAAGACAGGCTGACTTTTGGCACAGAAGTTTTGGGTTTGGTGGACCTTCTTTGTACCTCCATTGGACAGTGTGCTTCTCAGCATAATTTACTGGCAAGGCTTAAGTGTAAGAAAGCAGTGGGAAGATGGACAGGTTGCCACTGGAATCGTCTTATTTGACTTTTGTTGCCTTGAAACAGATTGTTGATCCTGAACTAAAAATCTACAGACTGTTAGACCAGATTCAGGATCCAAATGCAGTAGTTGTGTCATTTTCAATTAAACATCTTTCAAGAGAAATGGTAGTACACGGAGTACAGAATTTGTTTTAAAAAAATTTTTTTTGTTGATGTTTTAGAAGACAAGCACAAGCATTGTTCTGCTTTACATAAAAACTGCTGAAGATAAAAATAGGACCTACTTTGGGCATTTAATAGATCTTGTTAGAGGAGAGCTAGAAAATAATTTGAAGTTTTATAACTACATAACCCCCCCCCCCCTTGTTGTAAATGTATGTGGTGTCAGCCAGACATTTTACGGTGCAAGAAACCAACTTCATCTTCTTCTTTAGTAAAATAGAAGATTGAATCATTCGATTGATTTAATTTACAGGATGTTTTTCTGTTTATCTTTCAGACTTTATTGATCTGATCCAAGGTATCTTGAGACTGCTGGCTGGAATTAAGGTTGGTGGTGTGTTTATATTGATTATGAATAAGCTGTGAAATAAAATAGAAGCATCTTGGGGCTTTGGACAGCTGGGTCAAATAACACTTGCAGAGTGTGTTGTAGAAAGCTGAAACTTAGTGAGAAATGGATACATTTCAGACTTGGGGCACTTAACACCCATGTTTCCCTGAGCAGCATTTGCTTTCCTGGTTCCTATAATTTCTTTAATTATCAACTATTGTTTCACTTGTTTTACCTGTCTTACTAGCTGAATTTTGTTCAGATGAAGAGATCCAATTCTGATGTATTCATTTAATAAATACACATATCAAAAGAATGACTTCTTTGTAAGACTGGCTAACATTTTCAAGAATGGTCAGCTTCCTGGGCTCCTGGGTAGTGCAGTCGGTTAGGTGTCCGACTCCTGGTTTCAGCTCAGGTCATGATCTCTGTGGTCTTGAGATCAAGCCCTAAGTCAGGTTCCATGCTCCATGGGGAGTTTACTTGAGATTCTCTCTTTCCCTGTCCCTCTACCCCTCCCAAACCTCTGTAAAATAATAAACAAATAAATCTTAAAAAAAAAAAAAAAAAGGAAGAATGGTCAGCTTCCTGAATTTGAAGGCAAACACTTCAAGCCCACAGTTTGGTAGCCACGTTTCCTAGGGATGGTGGAGCCGAAACATTGCTTCTCAGTTGCCAATTTCAATTAATTGGCAAAAATCCTACGATGTCATTCCTTTTGTTCTATTTTCTTGTTAGTTGGTTTCATGGGAGACTTAAAACCAGCTTAACTGAGTTGAGAGTATTAACAGAGCATTAGAGGGCGCTCACATCAGTGGGCTTGAAATTTCGTTTATTCCTTCTATGTTCTTCTCTAGAATATGTATTCAGGTTTTAAAACAAAAGAAGAAGCTAATCCATGAATGAAACGAGGGCTTTTGTTGCTTATGTAAGAACAAAATGCCAGGTGCTACTAAATCTTTCGTATAGGGCTTTGATTACTAATTAACATAGAGAAAAACTGGCTTTTCATTTATGCTTACATTAAGCAGGAATTTAGCCTTCAAAGCCCATATTTACCCTTCAAATCGCAGTGTCTAGCACACAGCAGGGACACAGTAAATATGTACCTTTTCTGGCTTCAAATTCTGACCTTGTTTTTCCACCCCCAATACAAACACACACACACGCACACACGCACACACACACAGGCATGCATGACGGTTATTTTACTTTTTCATGTTGCCTGGCTTCATTTCATATCCACTACTCAGTACATTCTGTGTAAACTTGCACATATTTAAACATGGAATTTCTTGTAAGACTTTGAACTTTTTGCTGATCCTCTTTCCCTGCTAGCCTCTGTCCTTCTGCCAAGCAGAAATGACAAGTAGAATGAGATTTTTGGCAAAGTACAAATCTTTGAATCAGAAATATTTAATACACAGGGTTAACTTCGAAATGCTTGCATTTTGTCCCTCTTCCTTTATGGATTTTGTTTTACGGTTGGTATGGTCAGCATGGCAACTTGAAATCTCATCTCATTTTGGCCACTTTTCAGAAGGAAGAAAAAAATAAAAAGAAGCATGTAAAAAGAAAATAAATAAAATATTTTGTCTCTGCAAATATTGAATCATGGTATATACCTGAAAGCAATGCAAAGCTGCATGTCAATTATACCTCAATAAAATTTAAAAAAAAAATTTTTTTAAAAAGAAATGTCCTTGCAGTATTTTATCAAATTCTAAGATGTTTTTTCACATTAAACTATGTAAAATAAAAAAAAAAAAATGCCATAGTTAATTTGGCAGATATTTTTTTTCTTTCTTTGTCAAATGAAATATGTCTTATAATGGATTGTATCTTAGGTTCTATGAAATACAGTATTATTGAATTTAGATTAGGAAAAAAAATAAATTCCCTAAAGTTATTACAAAAGGGAATCAAAGTGAAATTCAGAAACCAGAAAGTCAAATTTGATACTGATGTTTAAAAACATCTTGCACCACACTTTTTACCTTTAAAAAAATATGTATTGATTTTTCCAATTTATTTTTTTCTCTTCATTATTACTACCACTACCAGTATTTTGGTATTTTTCCCTCCACTTTTTGTCTTACTTTGTTTTCACAAAATTGAAGTTAAACTTTGTATTCTGTACCTTCTGGTTACTTGAAAATGTGATTTTAATGACTATATGTTGTTTTATCCTACAGATATGCTGTAATTTTTTTCACTGTTCTACCTATTTTTGGACGTTCAGACTATTTCCAGTTTCAACCTGGACCTGGACCTCCCTCCAAATTCTAGTCTATGACCTCTGCCTCAAATTCTGATGTTTTCTATATGTTTCCATACTGCTGAGCTGCTTGCCATTAAGTTCTTTGACTTCAGTATCTTATCTATAAAATGGGAACAAAAATAATCTCTACTTCACTTAAAGATTAAATGAGGTAATGCATAAGTCTTAAATAGAGTCTTAAATAGAGAGGATTCCAAATCACTTTTAAAACCTCTATCAAAAGCCTTTATCCCCCCTGGGTTTTACATGAGTAATAAATTCTGGTGCTTCTCTTAAGACAGGGAATAAAACTAATGAAGATCTTTAAATTATTGTCATAAAACAAAATATATAAATGAAGGACGCCAGAAGTTTTATATATATATAAAGTGTATGTATATATATCTATATATACACACACTGACATTTATATATATTTTAAACTGACCAGAAAGTAATTTCTCTATGCTCTGCTGAGTGATACTATATCTTTTATTCAAGATACTATTAACAAACTAAGCAGCATATTACACAATTGAGTGGACTTTCACTTAAGAAAAATAGTGTAGAAAATGTGAACACTCTAATATAATAGGAGTGGGAGAGAGGATACTCTTATGTCTTCTGAGTAAGCTTTGTACTTTGAGCTTTGCAGAGTCAAGACCAACCAGTCTTGGTTGGCGACATTGTCAACCTTCAGTACCACCTCAGGGAGAAACCATATTTCCCCTCTCCCTTGCTTCACATTGTTTCACATATTCCTTGTAGCATTTGCTCAGGCTTCTTTATGTTATGATTAGTTCTGGACATTTCTTATCTCTCCTGCTAACTCATAGCAACTGGGGTCTTTGCCATTTTATCTCATGCCCTAGTCAGGCCTTGCAGGAGTGGACACCCAGGAAATGCTTACTTTATGAATTATAAAGATTAGAAGCCACAATGAACCATTTTATTACATACCCATAAACTAAATATACAGCTAAATATATATGGATATGTATGTATATATATGTTCTAATAATTATTAATCACTGTATTTTCTTCCCTGGTGATAGAAAAATTTGGGCAAAAAAGCAAGGACTTTGAACAAATCACCAAAAGACATTTGAAACAGTAACAATCATTAGGTTTAATTTGAGGAATTTAAAAAAGTGAAGGTATGAGAAAGGTAATTGTTTTGTCATTCTGCTTTATTCCTCCATTTAGTATAAATGTACTTATGGATGAAGACTTACCCAGAATTCTAATTATTGGATTGACATGTGACAAAGTGACTTTGAGATGCCAGAAAGATTTGTAAAATGCCTAATTATTTGCTTACCACTTTAAGGAGAGATACAAAGCTGCTAGAATCACATTTCAAACTGGAAAGACCAGTTGGTTCTAGGGAGAATTTGCTCTCTCCTATGCAGCTTTCCAAAATCTGAAGCATCATAAATACTTATTTCTTCCTTTTTATAAAAAGTAATCCTTTCCTGTTACAAACATCGAAATCAAAAAACAAGCTTGTGACATGATTTGGAATGAGAGAGGTGGGGGCAGGTTAAAGTGGGGGTGACAGGTGTAGGGGAGGAAAACTTTTACCTTCTTTCCTTCTATATTTTTTGGCTAGCCTAATAATTAAATTGACATAAGACAGACTAACAGGAGAAAAACAAATTCAATTTTGTATGGGAGCTTATAAAAATATGAGACTTGAAGTGACCAAAGCAGGCAGCTTTTATACCTTTTAGACAAAGAAACAATAAATTTGTGAAAAATTGACAAGATAAAGAAGTTTGGGCTTGGGGGTAGTAAATTAGTGAGGAAGTGACAAGGTTTGTTTATACAGCCTCTGGACTCTAAATTCCCTCTCTCCAGTGATAAGGATGGCTCTTTACCTCCTGGTACAGGGAGAGTACCTTTCATAAAGGAGATTTATTTCCTGCTTTCAGGAGGACAAAGGAGGGTTAGAGTGTCTTTCTTGCACTGGTTGTTCCTTAAGTACCTTGTATTTAAAATAATCAATATGCCAAAGTGACATATTTTAGGGTAGCCTGCCCAGAACCTAATCAGAGGCAAACTTGCTATCATTTCTCAATCTCCTTTATGATCTAGTGAAATACCTCAGGAAAATATGTTTCCAGAATTGCTCCTTTATTTTGACAGTCTTGACATACTACTGAGGAAATAGGCTTGTTGATGCCACAGAGGGCAAACAGAAAAACAGAATTTGCTGGAACTATATTAAGTAACTGCTAATGAGTCTGTTTTTTCCATGTTGAAAAAAAAAATTCTAGCTGCGCCTTTTTTTTCTTGACTAAATGTTTATAGTATCAGATGGCTACAAAAGATAGTCCGTTGGCTATGTTTTCATATAAACCCCTTGCTTCTGAAATCAATCCTGTGGATTTAATTCACTGATCAGCTAATTTTTATTCTTTTCCTGAATTCATGGGGAAGAAAGAATGCTGTTCCCAAGAATAGCACAGCTGATGTTTTTGCAGATTATTTATATCATTGAAGAATACCATGACTTTAATTTGGGCCTATATCTTATTAGGGAAGTTTGGAGGATTTAAAAGCATAAGAAGTACATTTGCTTCTTATATAAGGAGTCCATTCATTTAGAAATCCTTTATTTCTTTTATAGCCTATTTACTGCAAAGTAATAACTTTGTATTATTGAAAGGGGACATGCTTGCTTCTTCCTCAGCTTCTAAATCCCTAGTTATTTAGTTTCATTAGTTACTCATC